AGGGCCCGCCCTCCGCCGTGCGTCTCGGGGCTCCCGGGGCCTCCGGTGTGGGACCAGCCCTCCAGCCGAACCGCGGGCACCGGTGGGCCGACGGTGACAGTCCCCGAGGCCGGAAGTCCCGCCCCGGCCCGCCTCCGCCAATGAGCGCCGTGCACGCACGCGCAGAGCCTCCGCGGGCTGCAGCCCCGCCCGACTTCCGGCTGGGGGGGCTTCCGGTCTCCTTGGCAACAGGCAAGCGGGGTTGGGCGGAGCGCCAGGAAGTGGCTTTTCGGCTCGCGCCCGCCTTCCCGGCGCCGGGCCGGGATTGCGGGGTTGGTCGGAGTCCCGGTTCCCCGCCCGCGTCCCAGCTGCTCCCGAAGCTAAGCTCTGGAGGTTCGAAAGTGTGAGTTTACGAGGTTGCAGTAGGCAAAAAGGGCCACAAAGAAGTACGCGTAGCTGGAAGAGTCGGAGGAGGCGCTTCGGCGGGCGCGCGGGCCAGGGTCCTCCCCGGGCGCGGAGAGCGGGCGCGGGGGCGCGGCGGAGAAACGGGGGGATCACCGCGAGTCCGGTCTGTAGTGGGACCCGTAGGCCCTGTACTGAAATACATTTAAAAAAAAAAAAAAAAAGAGGGAGGAAGGGGGAGAGAGTTAGAGGCGGGCGGAGGACAGAGCTTTAGTGGCATAAGCACCCGCCTGGCAAGCGCAAGGTCCTGAATTCGGTCCCCGGTACCGAAAAAAAGAGGAAGGGGGTGTGGTGGCGCACGCTTAGGGCCACCCTGAACTGTAGAGACCCTGTCTCAAAAAAATACAAAACAACAGCAAAATATTGAGTCATTGTCACTTTCCTCTTAAGGCTAAGTTGACAGTAAAAACAACAGGAAAGACAATCTCAGTGTAGATGCTGTTGCTGCCAGAAAGTAAAAGGCTTTCTCTTTCCACCGTGAGGGTCTAGATTTTAGCATTTCAGTCCGGTGTCAGACTTCTTGGGTTTTTTACTTCCCTCCTCCTACAGGCACCTCCGCCTGTATCTGTTCCCTGCAGCTGCCTGCAGAATGGTGGTAGCTGCAAACATGTCATGTTCGTCTGTCTTGAATTGTTTTCTACCTGGTGCTATGGTCTGTGATAGATGCCCACACAAAGCCTCCTGTGGTCATAGGACTTTTTCAGAAGTGGCTGAATCTAGAGTGTGATGCTTGGATTAAGGGTGAGTGACTAGTAAATCAGCTCATTGATTGATGTAACATAGTGCCGACTAGGATTAGGGGAGTGAGTACGCCCCTGCCCGCCCTCGGGGGAGTAGCCTGCGTTCAAGGTCAAGGACAGAAAGGGTGTTTTCCTTCCCTCTCTGCCTTGTTGCCCTTGCTGTCTTCTGCCTGCCATATGCCGCTCTTCCTTGGAGCCAGCCGACTATGGACAGAAACTGTTAACAAACTCTAAGCGAAATAAACCTTACCTCCCCTAACTCTGGGCATTAGATATTGTCTCAACAATGAGAAAAATAATTAAACACTAGGGTATAGGGGTTAAACCCAAGGGCTCCCAGTTATGAAGCTAGCACTCTAACATTTATTTATACTCTCAGGAGAAAGTTTGGAATTTATTCTCCTCGAGCCAGTGGGGATAGGAGACAGTACTGTCCCTGCTGGGTGTCACTTAGTCTTGCATTCAAGCCATCAGTTTGATTCATCACACTCCTCAGCGTTTCCCAGCAAAGAGCCTGCATCCCACTGGCTCCTCCATGGCAGATGTTGGGCACTCCCTGGCTCCCCTCTTGTCCTTAATGATAATACTGTGTTTCTTTTTTTCTTTTCTTTCTTTCTTTTTCTTTTTTTTGTATGTCAGGGGAGGGGTCTACAGGGTATTCAGGGTCTCACTACTAGATGGGACTCAGTGATCCGCCTGTTTACAGCCTCCCAAGAGCTGAGATTACAGGCATGCCACTATGCCCAGTCTCAGTCGACAACATCTCAGTGTGCCCCAGGGGTAGGGCCGGCATCATGGCCCCTGCGGCTGCTTGCAGGCGCTTTAATCCGCTGAGCTATTTGCTGGCCCAATAGTGTTTCTAGCCATGCTGTTGGTGTACACCTACAGTCCCACCATCTGGGAGGGTGAGCCAGTCGGGTCCCAAGTTCAAAGCCAGCCTGGGCAACTTATGATCCAGTGAGACACTGTCTCAAAGTGGAAAAAAAACCTTTTTTCGATGGTTAGATGGGCATGCTGACACAGACCTGCAACCTTGGCACTCAGAAGCTTGGCGCAGGAGGGATGGCAGATGGCATGACTGGGAGGCCTGCCTGGGATTTAGGCTTTTCTGAGCTCGTGAGGGATGACCACATACACAGGGCCAGGAAGGTCGGAGGATGAGGTCCTGCTCCAGCTGCCCCTCATGAGGCTGTGAGCCCCCCTCTCCCCCCGCCAAGTTCAGTACTAGGGATTAGTGCCCAGGGCCTTTGCACACATGAACACCCCCAGACCTTTCTGCTTTCTATGTTCAGACAGGGCCTCTCTAAATTTCTAAATAGCCCAGGCTGGACTTGAACTTGCAGTCCTCCTGCCTCAGCTTCCCAGAGTGCTGAGATTACAGGCACGTACCCCCACACCAGTGTGCGTGTTCTTGGTGCCTGAGGCTCTACGTCAAGCTGGAGGTTTTCTCTTACTAGCGATTCACTTTGGCCTTCTCATAGTTGTAGCTGTGGCAGACTTTTTTATGCTAAAAAAGAATTACGGAGACAGTAAAGGCTTTCTCACATTGACTACACTAAGAATTACTTCCTTTACAGTCAATTTTCAGGTGCCAAGTGGTTGGGTTCAGGGGTTTTTTGTGTTTCCTTCCTTTGGGGAGAGTTCTGGGGAATGAATACAGTGGCTGGGTGCTTTGGGCTCAAGATGTTTCTGTGTTGTGAGATACTCAGCAGAGGTGGCTGCTGGAAGCCTCTTCACAGTAGTGCACAGAAACGCCATTCCTCAAGGGTGAACTTTAGGTGTTGAAATTATTATTATTATTTATTTATTTAGCCAGGATCTTTCTCTGTAGTCGAGGGTGATTTTAACTTACTGAGTAGTCTAGGCTGGCCTGGAACTCACAATGATCCCTCTGCTTCAGCCCCTTGAGTGCTGTGTACCACCTCCAATTTTAACCTTCAGGATAAAATGAAACTTTGAGGGTCTTATTATGTACCCTCCTGCCTCAGCCTCCCACGTGGCCTGTTTATTCCCTTGGATCTAGGGCATAGCATCCCCACCCAACTCAGGGCCTTATGCTTACCAGGCAGACACTGTGCCACTGAGCTAAATCCCTGCCTGCCCTCCCTCCCTAGCCCTGCCTTTTGTTTCCCCCAAGCCTCCAGTGTTTCATTTGGAGAATTACCTATTACATTTTTGACACTAGGGATTGAACACAGGCCTTCATCCCACCAAGCTTGATTTTTTTTTTTTGGGGGGGAGGGCAGCTCAGCCCACCCTGGGGATGGGGCTGGCATGGCGTGTGGTGCTAGGGACCGAACCTCAGTCCCTGTGCACTTGCCTAAGCAGGCGCTTTAGACCGCTGAACTATGTTGCTGACCCCCCAAGCTTGATTTTTATTTATTTACTTATTTACTATCTAGCTATAGGTAGTCTAAGTCACTAAATTGTCTATGTTGGCCTTAAAGTTTTCCTCTTCCTCCCTCAGCATCCCAGAGTACTGACAGTAATTTTTCTGGGCATTACAGAAAGCAAAACAAGGGTTCAGTGAGATAGCTCCGCAGACTAAGCGCCTGCTTTGTGGAGCACAGGAACCTGGGTTCGGTCACTGGTCCCACACGCGTGCCGGCCCTGCCCCTGGGGCATGCTGAGCCAGTGAACAAATCTGGGCGTGGTGGCGCACGCTGGGGAGGCTGAAAACAGGAGCATCACTACAGCTCCTACCTGTGTGGTGAGACCCTGCTGACCCTGTCCTGAATACAAAAAACAAAAAACCAAAAGGATCACTGTGAGTGCAAGCTGCGTGGTGAGACCCTGTACCAAACACACAAATGAAAAAAGGAGAAAACGAGGGCCGGGGAGATGGCTCAATAGAATAAGCACTTCCTTGGCAAGTGCAAGGGTCTGAGTTCAATCCCTGGTTCTGCCAAAAAAGAAAGAAAAACATGGCAGGTAACCTTCAGATAATCCCAGAATGTGCAACTAGAAAGCTAATCTTTTTTTTTTTTTGCGGAACTGGGGATTGAACTCAGGCCCTTGCGCTTGCCAGGGAAGCACTTATTTTACTGAGCCATCTCGCCAGCCCCTTCTTTTCTAATAAAGCTCTTTCTTTACTCCTGAGTTACTGGCTCCTTCCTGATATGGGAGAAATATAATTCCCAACCTACCAGCTGTCATATTCACCAAGCTATGTCCCCTGAAATCAAATAATGAATTCCAAGGAACAACTGAGATTAAGATTAGAAAAGGTTTATTAAGAGACACCTTTCTTGAGAGACAGGAGGGATCTTGAAAAGGAGGCGGCACCAAGCCCCACCGTTGGGCGTAATTTTACAGCAGAGTCACAATGTGGGTACAACATGGGTCAAACTGTAACCAGCCTATAGCATTCGAAGTGTAACTGCTTAGCTAATAATGGTTCACCAGGGAATGGGCCACATAGCACAGGCACATGGAAAGAACGAAGGCGTGTGGGGAAGGCAGGGTCCGACCCGTGTGGGTGACTGATGCCTATCTGGACTTTCTGGGATGGGTGCTGCTAATTAGGGCACGATTCCGGGTTA